TGTATGCCAGCGTCTTCTGGGTGTTTTGCTTTGTTTTTAGCTGAGAAACATGCTACTTTGCAAGGTAGTTTGCCCTTTGTTTTGTATGTAATGGGCACATATGAATAGATATATAAATACTTTATATACATCTTAAATGGTTGTTATCTCTCATGAGACGGATCTCTCTTGGAAGTGTTATATCAGAGAGACCAATGCCTTTTAATATTTATTTCATAAACTCTGTTAAATGAGATTTTGAATCAATTCTCGAGGACGCCAGTCTCCAAGTCAGAGCTGGTAATAAGTCACTGTGCCCACTCCAAAGCGTGTTAAAGTAACTGGAAGGATGCCAAATGGCTTAAATGGTTTCTGCATCAGGGCTTTTATGAAGTGCAGCACTTTCTCCATTTATGTATATATAGTAGATCATTTTGATAACTGTTTGAATGTAAATCAGCTTGCAGCTCATCTTTCTTTTTCCTGCCTCCTCAATCTACAGCATTTTGGTTCTTCCAGGGCTGTGAAATAAGAATTCAAGTATAGTTGCTAATCATCTCTGCCTTAGAGGAACTAGACTCTTGCTGACTAGTGGTCCTTTTTTAACATCTGGTTAAAGTCTAGACATTGGACCTTTTGTCATCACAACTTGAAAAGCATTGCACAAGGTATTGTGTCTTCATTAATATCATGAATAAATTACTCGAGTTCCCTCTAAGTTTAAAGTTTCTACACAAATAACTGGTTGCCTGTTTCCTCCTCCTCCGTTTTTGGAAAAAGTGAAGTGTTTGTATGCTAGAGTTGTACTTCTTTAAACATAACGAAGTAGCATTTAAATTCAAAATCTGACTTTCTCACATTGCATGCAAGATGTCGTGTTTTGGTCCGTCTTGTCCTCTTACCAGGAAGAAGTTTGATGCTTAGAAGAACTGGCTTTTTTAGTTATTTTTATTTTGGTTTAAAGAGGTACCTTACTTCATGCATGGGATGTGCTGAACAAGTTGGTTTGACCCTTGAGAACTTTAATAGTTGAAAGTTCTGTCTGTAACTCTGCTGTTTATAACTCGCTCCAGCTATGGAAGGATTTTTTTCCAAGCCCTTCTTACAGCAGTTACTGCCTTTCACTCCCATCTGTCATAACCTTTTCATGAGCGTGACCATCTGTTGTGGTAATAAGTAGCTCCTGCTATGTTTTCTAATGCTACCGGAGTTTCCTCTCTTGGATTTAAGGAAAAATAAAAAGGTGGTAATGCTGAGATTTATTTCCAGTTGCCACTGAGGCAGCCTTGTATTCTGTCATTAGAAACCTACGCTTAAATTAAAGCCGTTGGTCTGCTTTTTTTTTTTTTTCTTCAAGCAGTGTTAGAATTACACAAATATGACTCTGTTAATGTCGTGTGTGTGGTGCTGCATTATCTCAGTGCAGCATTCATCCATGCTACCTTTCGCGTTTCCTTAGCTTGTGTAAGTTCTGCTTGTTCTGGTCGAGCTTGGTAATTAGAGCTGCAAACTCTAAACATGTAGCAAGGAGTTTAGAAGTCAAGTAGTTACTTTCTTAAGGTGGGATGGATCTGATCAAAATCAAGAGATCCCCGATAGACAAATGTGTTGCCTAGAAAGTAAAGCAAACAGGGAGTGTGTTGTTACTGGCACAACAATGCAGACAGGGAATCGTGAGCTGTACACAGTGAATTTCATATTAATTAAACACCCTCTGTGTGATGGTACAGGCACAGAAAGAGCTTAGGAACCAGGCTATGGAGAAATTGCTTGGACAGTTCAGGGTCTTGGCTCTGTACCTTGCCTGAATTAAGATCCTGTGCTTTCTGGTGTGTCTAAGATGGTTTTTTCCTCCTTTCTAAAAGCTGTGCTTTAGCAGTTTTATTTTTCCCTCTTTGGTCCAGCCTGCAACTGTTCTGTTCACATTTGGGATTTAATTGGATTATGATGCATTAGCCTTTTGTTAGTTGGGCAGAAAGGATACGTGAGAGCCAGAATTTAGCTTGTAGCCAAGGAGTGTAGGGCAGCCAGAGATTTTGGAAATATAAGTCACACTAATTTCTTTTCTCCTTAATGTATACTAGTTTCACTTTCTGAGCTGAGTTGTTTGAGGTGTGGAGCCAGGCAGCATGGGAGAAATGACATCTTGAAAAAACTGGAAAATGCAGATACTACCCTCCTGAATGGTATGCTTGGGTATGGAAGGAGAGAACAGGAGTGAAACTATTGCATGTTATCTTACTCATACCCTTCAACACTCAAATTTATGTGTTTTTTTTTTTAATTTAGGATTATCGCTGCAGAATCTTACTCTGCAATTCAAAGAGTCCTAATTGTTTTATAGAAAGCAAAATCCTGCCTTTGTGGAAGGGATTAATTCCCTTTCTTATATTTTCCTTGGAGCTGTGATTTATAGTTGAAATCCCTGAATATAACATTTCTTTATCAAGCTCCAGTTGTCATAAAATCCATGATTAATGGTGCTTTAGTTAAAAGATCTGATAATCAGGGAGTCCACAGATCTAAAAGGCAATATAAACTACAGGTTAAAAATATTGTTGGACTGAAACGTGGGGGTCTTAAAGGCAGAAAAGGAAACTGTATGCATAGTAGTAGGTGACAACATCATAAAATCTTAACTGTAAATGTGACCTAGATTCATGGGCCCACAGCATGATTCTCTGAAGAACTACCCTTCTGTTTCAGGTACAAATATATGACAATGTACTCCAGTTTCCTGCTGAGGGTAATGCAGTCAAAATCAAATTCCCCTGCATTTTAGGTGCTTGGGGAAGGACTGAAAAGTGATACTTAAGAGTCAGCTGTTGCATGATCTTGCCGACAAGCAAAATTCAGGTTTTCTTTTTAAAAACAAATAGAAACCAACCAACAAAACCCATGAAGTGGGATTCACAGTTGCTAGACCTTTTCGACAGCACGAGGAATGAGATCAGTGGCTGCTAAGAGTTGACCTTCAGGAAATGCCATTTGTATGTTCCTTTGCCCGTCAGAAATGTGATGTATAACAACTTCCACATAGTAGCAAAACATTTCCCAGTTCTGAATGGACACCTTGAACCTTACGGTAAATTTAGTCCCTAAGCCTTGTTACTGCTCAAAAAAACCCACCAAACCCCAAAACAAACAAACAAAACCAAAACCAAACCCCAAACACACAAAACCAGTGGAGGATGTTGCTTCCTTCTGTGTCAGTTAAACAGGATGTGGGTGAGCACAGGCTCCATTTTTATGTTTTTCAGTAGAATTGTAGCAGAGACTTGAATGAAGGATGACCTGGAAGAAGTAGTTTCTGGACTGGCTTAATTAGTCTTAAAATACACCTGTACCTCTTCCTGCTCAAATGAAAACTACTAAGCACCAGGCCTAAACATTTTGCCCTCTCTGAGGCTTCATTATCAGAAGTTTTTAGAGAGAATAATTTACTTCAGTGGTTTGAGACGGAGTCTGACTTACAAGACATGGAATAAGTCAGCTGTAGCATTAAATATGAGCTTGGAAGGAAAAAAAAAAAAATCTCGTTTAGAGCTATTTAAAAAAAAAACCAACAACAAACTTGCCTTACAGACTTCTGGTGAAAAAAAAATATTTTGCCTTTGGTAGCATGGTCTGCAGAGAATTGTTGAATAGAAATGTCACTTGAAATCGTCAGCTTGTAATTATGATTTAGGTGAAAGTTTTTCCCTAGTTCTTTAAAGTATTAGATTTTAATATTGCTCTGCATTTGTGCTTTATTTTCTTAGAAGTTGACAGCTGTAGGAAATCATTAAGACACACTGATTTGTATATAAATGTAACTCTTCTGCTACTTCTGGAAGCTTTTCTCAGTACCCAGGATGACAGGCGTTTAAATAATTGTAGAATTTGTTTATTTATACCATACAGTGAGATTTGTGTTAAAATGGTAATTGATTCTTTTTTTCACTTGTGACTTTTCAAGCTTTTTCACCTAAAGAATGGAAGAATTCATGTAAAAATGCAAATTATTGTTTTTAATTAAGTAAAAACTGTTGAACATATTCAGTATGTTTTGTATTTAAAATTGAGGTGCTGAGTAGAGGAACAGCAAAATGTAGTTTGTTGTGCTACCTTGCACCTGTTCCTGAAAATGTAACACCTTTCTTCCTTCTCATTTCTGTCATCTGCTTCTCCCAACATTTTGAAGTACTGCCTACTTATCACAGTGTATAAAATGAAATAATATAGCAAATACAGCCCTTGTGGCATGTGATTATAACATCAAATTGAACTTGAAACATTTTTTAAGATAAAGCTAACATTTCCTAAAGTACTTGTATTCATCCAGGCTTTAAACTATTTCTCCCCTGACCTGCTGAATATCCATTTGGATGTCTTTGTCCTCAAATTTCTTCTGAAAGAGGCTTAGAGAAATTTTCTAGATGGGTAGCAAAAGCAGATGTGTCTGTTCATCTTGATTAATCTTCAACTCTATTCTTACAGTCAGTACATTATTCAAGGATCTCATCCAAGCAACACGAGACTGTAGGAGGGAGCCAATACCAGGGAAGACCAAGCCGTGCAGGAGCCCAGTTGGACCTGCTGGCTGTGCCAGGACTCGGGATGCCTGGCAGGGAGTGTGCCATCCTGGTACTGAGCCCGCCACCCCTCGCTGTGGAGCCCTGGGGAGGTGACCAGCAGGCAGTGGTGAAATTCCTCCCGTAGGCACAGCTGTGTGGGCCTTGTTAACTGCTCTGTTGTAGGGCTGGTGTCCAAAGCAGTGAACATAGGTAGCTCATCTGGTAGGTCTGAATGAAGGTTGAGAAACATCACTGATCTTACTCTTTTTTGTTTCTCTTTTCTGTCTCTCCTTACAGTTGGTCCGTTAACCATCACCTTCAGGATGCTCCCTAGTGAAAGGATGATCATCAAAAAAAATCCTTTCGTTCAGTCTGGTGGCCACTACAGGCCACCTCACTGCTTCGCCCGCTACAAGTCCGCCATCCTTGTGGCCTACAGGAACCAGGAGAAGTACCTCCACCATCTTCTCTACTACATTCATCCTTTCTTGCAGCGCCAGCAGCTCAGTTACACTATCTACTTGATTCAGCAGGTAAATCTAAATCAAATGTGGTGGTGCAGCTGAGCTTCCCAGTTATGGGTTAGTTCTGAACTTGAAATACACCTGGGTCGGGGCAACCGTCAGTGTCAATACAGACTGGGGGTGAACATATTGAGAGCAGCCCTGCCAAGAAGGACTTGGGGATGCTGTTGGATGAGAGACTGGACATGACCCAGCAATGTGAACTTGCAGCCCTGAAAGCCAAATGTGTCCTGGCCTGCACCAAAAGCAGCGTGGCCAGCAGCATGAGGGAGGTGATTCTGCCCCTCTATTCCACTCTGGTAAGACCCCACCTGGAGTGCTGCATCCAGATCTGGGGTCCCAACACAGGAAGGAGCTGCTGGAGCAAGTCCAGAGGAGGGCCACCAGGGTGATTAGAGGGCTGGAGCACCTCTCCTGTGAGGAAAGGCTAAGAGAACTGAGATTGTTCAGCCTGGAAAAGAGACAGCCTAGGGGTGACCTGGTTGTGGTCTTCCAGTACTTAAAGGGAGTCTACAAAAAAGACTGAGAGAGACCTTTTACAAGAGCATATAGTGACCGGACAAGGAGGAATGGCTTTAAACTGAGAGAGAATACGTTTAGATTAGATAGGAGAAAAAAATTCTTTACTGTGAGGATGGTGAGGCACTGGAACAGGCTGCCCAGAGAAGTTGTGGATGCCCCATCCTTGGAAGTGTTCAAGACCAGGTTGAATGGAGCTCTGAGCTACCTGGTCTAGTGAAAGGTGTCCCTGCCCATGGCAGGGGGTTTGGACCTAGATCATCTTTAAGGTCCCTTCCAAGCCAGGCCATTCAATGATTCTATGAAATATGACTCTTCTAGTATGGAAATACTGTTTTATGCATGGGCTGAGAAGAGATCAGTTACATATTGTCCCACCTCCATGGCTGCTAATGATTGAAATATCGTAACACTTGTCAGGTTCATCATTCCACTACTGATTGGTTCTGTTGGGGATTTTCTTCTAGAGGGATAAGTTGTCATTTAAGTGATACCTTTCATTTTCTTCTGTTTGAGAGCTGAATGTGGTTTGTCTGTAGCTTGTTAGTGTGGCTACTGAGCAAAATCTTAAGACTAAATGCTAAAGTGAAGTTGGATATTTTCAGTCTGCATCAAATACAAACATCTGGCTTGACCCTGCTGAGGGGCAGCCTATGCAGGGCAAACAGCTTTTTGTAACTGAGGTGCACTGGTGTTGCAAAAGATCAGTGGTGAGAGAGCAAGTTTTGGATTCATGAATTAAAACTAATAGTTTATTGGGAGGGAGAAGAAGCTTTTTTGTTTGACCAAGATCTTTTTTTCTCATTTCTAAGCTTTAATAAGCAGTGGTCAGGGCAAACGTGTTGATGTGCAGATGTACCCCTGAGGATTGGCTTATGGATCTCTTGAAAGTCAGCCTTCTTCAGGTGCCAACAGTGTATATAGCCCCCGACACAGCAAAGCTGACAATTGTTGAGAATGTTGTGAAGAGGGTGGGTGAAATCTTCAGAGTTGGGAACATGGAATTTGCAGCCAGTATTGATTCGTTACTGTGTAATTCAATTGAATAAGGCTTTTTTACTAACACAAATTTTTAATTGCGTTACCATCTTTGTTGTTTTGGTGAAGAAATGCAGGTTTTCTTTTCCAGGTGGGGACTGGTTCATTTAACCGAGCAAAGTTACTTAATGTTGGTGTCCGGGAAGCCATGAAGGATGAAGACTGGGACTGCCTTGTGCTGCATGATGTTGACCTAGTACCTGAGAATGACTATAACCTCTACATTTGCGATGAATACTATCCCAAGCATATGGCAAGTGCCATGGATAAGTTTCAGTACATGTAAGTGCCTCCATCTGCTTTCTGTTTATGCATTCTACTTGGTTCACTTTCTGCTTAGAAAGTAGGGATGGGAACAGTAAAAGATAGAACTTTTAAGAGGTTTTCTGTGTGTTAGTTTTGCAGTAGTGACTTCCCTAGAAAAGGATATTCTTGACCTGAGCATGCAATCTTGAACAATTCCTTTGCCTGTAGTTCCCTGTTACACTGTTAGCTCAGCTTGGTAAGTAACTGGCAGGTTTCAGTTTGACTTTCCTTCAAGAATGAAAGTATAAGGGTGGGAAATACTGGATCATATGGAAGATGATGTGATAGGATGCAGGTATTTTAAACTGACCCAAGATATGAAATTTGAAACCAGCTTTACTTTGGTCTACTGTGGGGGAAGATGGCAGGGGACAATGTGGGGAATGATGGGAATTACACTGGGTTTACTACTTTGGGTTTGAGCATTGTAATGACAGTGTCTGTAAAACATATGTGTGACTTGGATCACATTGTTAGATGTGTTAAATGTATTAGGCTTCAATAGTGATGCTTTTTTTGTTGTTTTTTTTTTCTCTTTTAGTCTACCTTACAAGACCTTTTTTGGGGGCGTATCTGCTCTGACTCCAGATCATTACATGAAGATGAATGGGTTTCCAAACACATACTGGGGTGATGGTGGTGAAAATGACGACATTGCTACAAGGTACTAATGCACGGGACAGGCTTAAAATAGCACCAAGCTGGCTAATGAAGTGTAGCATTACCCTAAGAAAGGAACCAAGACATTGTTCCTTAATGTGCTTGCAGTATCATTATAATCCAAAATGCTGTTGGCATTGAGAATGGTTAATATCAGAAGCTGCTCAGAAGCTATGAATCCAATCACTGTGTGCTGGGAAAACAAAGCTTTCTTGGCTCTGGAGAGCAGAATGTTACTTCACATCCTTGTGCCTTTAGTCCAAGGGGTTATAAACACTAGGAGTTGACAAGTGCCTCCTTTGACGTGGACAGCCCCAGCAGAGGGAAGGAATCTGCAAGCTTGACAAATAAGAAGGTACTTACTAATTCTCAGACAGTTGGGAATTTAAGTTAAGTGCATTTAGGTTGCTCCAAGTATTACCTAATCACCAATACTGGGCATTAAGGAACGCAAGGAATTCTATCTTTTGTCTGCAGTGCTGGGTGATAGAGAAGCCTGTGTACTACTGTGAGTCAGTGACAGCAAGAGTTGATGGTCTTTCTTGTACTTGGGTTGCCATGGCAGCAGCATGCTATAGGAGCGAGATGAGTTCAGTTCCAGGTACTCTGCCTCATGCGAATTCCTCAAGTACAGAATCATGGCTGCAGCTTCTTTATTCAGCTTTGCAGTTGCACTGAGCACCTTTATCATCCAGCACAGGCAGGCCCACGGGGAGTTTATAAACCTAAACTGACCATAGAAGGCTTTTTTTTTTTGTCTTGCACAGTGCAACAAGTTATGTGAGGTTTTTCAAAGCAGTTATTTGTCTGGAAATTGAAAGTCAGATTTTCTAACATAGAATTCTTCCTTTGCCTTTCAGATGAAACCAACTAAAAGGTTGTAAGTTTCTGCATTTATGAAAGGAATGGAATGCCAGGAAAATAGATCTTTACATCAAACTCTACAGTACTGGGTCTATTCAGCTGTTCTTAGGACCTCTTAGGCATCTAATGTGGTTCTCGGTATGAGGGATAAAGGATCATGCCGGCTATGCATAGGAGTGCACTTCCTTGAAGAGACTCCTGGAAGACAAGTGGATTATGTAGCTCCCAAAATAGGCCTTTCTTGAAGGGAATTAGATCATATGTTTTCAGAGAAAACTTATATTAATGATTAGCAATGTTTTGGCCCAGAGATACATGTAGGCCGTGGACAGTGCCTGTTAATGATTTATTCACATTCTGAAGTCTCAACCTGCCTAAGTTAGAAATGAGCTGCTGTTCTTAAATGACCACCTGGTATTTGGATTTTAGGAGGTGCTTAAGCACTTCTTACCGTGTAGCAACAAAATTAATGACTTTTTTGACATTGCAATGTCCAATTTCAAAAAGTCCTGTGTACAATTTTTTTTTCTGGGATGCTGCTTATTAAAGCAGAGCTAGTGGCAAAAAAATTGCTGGCTGCTACTTACATTTGGCAGACTGCAGAACTGTATTAGGTGTAGCAAACACCAGGATCTACCTTCTCTTAGAGGAAAACAGTATTCGAATTGGAACCACTTATGTGTTTACATTATCAACTACAAGAAAGCCTGTTGGGTTCTTCTTAACAGTAAATTAATGGAATAACTGCACCATATGACAGTTTAATTTTGCGATGCAAAAACTGTAACAGCAAATCTAGTTTAGTGTTCTTGCTTGTCTCTTTATGATTGAATGTGCCATAAGCTTATGTTCAGAAAACAACAAACATCATCTAAAACTCGATCTGAAATAATAGTATTATAACACTGTCAGTAAAGTGTTATAATACTCTGATGGCTCTAAACTAACAAATACTTTCAGTTCTGTGGCCTCTTTCAGCTTTATAACATTCCTGCTATATCAGATCTCGATGGAACGCAGTCAAATGCTCGAAACATGCCAGTTAGATAACCTCAACTGAGCAAACATTCATTCTTACATTCAGAGAAATCTTCTTTGTGTAAGGGCTGTCCTGTGATAACAGAGGTTTGGTAGCCATTGCACTATTAAAGGCACTTCTTATTGGCAAACTAACATAGGTGCCATCAGCAGTGGGTTGTGGGTTGCTTGAGAGTCACCCAAAATGCTGTTTTTAGGAGCTCTGTTCTAGAATTCTGAGCCTTCAGTTCACTCATGTCTTATCTAACTGTCCCACAGCTGAGCTCACATTTGCTCACATTTGTTTATCTGGTGACTGTATTTATCACTAATCTTCTATGAACCAGTATAATCAGGCCATCTGAATGAATGGCACTTCTCAAAGAACCGAAAGTCTTAATCTGGTTTTGAAACTTAGGACTGGCTTCCTTTCAGAAACTGCAAGTTTGAGGTCTTTTTTTTTTTTTTTTTTTTTTTTTTTTTTTTTTTTTTTTTTTTTTTTTGTTTAGGACAAAAAGGACCTCTAGGCAGCAAAAGCTTTGCTCTGAGTAGGAAGTGGAATAATGATTTTGTCAAATTCATAGAAATTGCTCTTAAATGCTCTGTATGTTTTTGCTCATTCCCTGCTTGTCATAATCCTCTTGTACCCTGTGGAAGTGCACTGCAGCTGGGAGCTTTCTAGCCCAAGCTTGGCCTCGACCCTGCTAGAGAAGATCATGTGCTGCTTCTGCATTTTGTTTTTATTGCATTAACACTGAAAATCATCTCTGACTATAACTAAGTCTAGAAACAGCATCTTTATGCCTAAGCAAGTATTTTTATATGTTGTTTTAAAGGATTCAGTTAGCAGGAATGAAAATAGTCCGGACATCACCTCACCTTGGACGCTACAAAGTGATGAACTACGAGGAAGACACAGAGATGCAAGAGCCTTGGAGAAGGTAACTGTGTGGGTTGGGGGCTACTCTTTGCCTTGTAGCAGGCAGAGTATTACTGTCATCTTCCCCAGAACAGGCAGTAAATATACCTCATGTTGCTGCTGCTTCTTCTGCTTTAGGGAGGCTATTTAAAAGCAGCTCCCAGCCAGTTTCAACTGAATCACTGGTCTCCTGTCTTTGCATGTGAAGGGTTTCTCCTCGTTTCCTACCTTTTTTTCCTGTTGTGAAGATACATTGTAGCTAGGAAGCTAACACATGTCAGACTTAAGCACCAAATAATTCAGGGAGTAAAACTTTAGGAAAAAATACTGCCTGTCTTGTAAATAGAGAGAGTTCACTTTGAAGAGGCACTTTGTTACAACTTCCCCATAATAAAAACTTGCTCTTCAATCTGTGTGGAGTTACAATGTGCCAGTAAAATAGTGGAAAGCAGTATTCTCGCTTGAAGACGTCAGAGGTGCTATGACAGACTTTATCTAACACTGTTTTATATAGAAGAGCTGGAGGAGGGTGTTGGGTCAAGTGTGGTGGAGGCTTCTCATACGGACAGTGCAGATTTCCCTTTATCATCTCAAAACTCAGGTTTCCATAACAACCCTGTCTAAAAACCTACCTACAGCAGCCTATGTACACCATTGCTGCAAGCCTCTGTTGCACTCCCAGGTTTCTCTAAGCAGCTGCCAGCTTCCTGGGCTTTGGCAGACTGTAGCTGCCACCTCACTGGTCTCCCTGTTTGATTAGGGTCCAGTCCAAATTGTCTTCCTTGTTCAGAAAACTCAGTGTGAATTTACTGTAATCTGTTTATTCTGTATCATGTGGGAAGAGTTTTCTCAGGGCTTTTCTGCTACCCCCTTGAGCCCTCTAGAATCCTCTTTGTTTCTTCTGCAGCTTCAGCTGCAAACGTCGCCTTCGTTCTTCTAACTGCAGGTATTCTTCCTTCCTCAGGCCTACTTCTCAACACAACACCAGGAAAACATGGAAAGCTGATGGAATGAATTCATTACAATTCAGGCTCCTTTCCAGGACAAAGCATCCTCTTTATACCAAGATCACTGTGGACATAGGATATGTTCCCCCATTCTCTTAAGAGACTGAAAACAAAAGCAGAGGTTGGGTGCAGCCTGGGCATTCAGCTGCTACCTCCCATTGTCCTGTGCAGTCTGCACCACCTGAGACTAATCCTTTTGCCTTTCATGCATTTCACTTTTCTTCAAACTGTTTAAGATTTAGAAGGACAGGCTTCAGGAATAGGATATGACAGCTAATAAGCAGGCTCTGGCTTACTGTAAAAATTGTCCACGTCACTGTAAAACTAACTACTGAGCCAAGTGTCTTTGACAGTAAGCTGATCCAAGGTTTCTGGAACCTTTGTTCCATAACTGGACAGCTCTGTCCTGCTTTGTACTTAAGTGTTAATTAGGATGCAAGCCATTCTGTCAGAATGGCCTCTGAAGTGTTATATTTTGAGAAAGTGTTGAAGCCAGTCACAGTTCTGTAAATATCCTTTGTGAATTTGAGTAAAATAAATTGAGTTCTGTGTTAGGCTTAAGAGTTTTATAAAATATTAAGTAAGAGTGTAATAAAAGAGAAAGTTGCCCTGAAACCAAACAAACCGGAGCTTAAGTCCCTGCTTTTCTTTCTGGCCTGATCCATCAGTGTTTAAATGTTTTTATTCTAGCTATGCTACAGCTATACTGTAAGTAATGCAGGCTGAATGGGACCTGAGGCTGTCACCTAGTGTAACCTCCTGCTCAGAGCAGGGAAATTAATCTAGTACTTCAGTTGTTGCTCAGATATGAATAATCATTCAAGGTTGAGCAGTCTTCAACATAAAATACTTCTAAAAATTAAATACTAGAGGAAAAACTAAGTAAAACATGTCAACAGTGGAGCTGTGACCCTGGCAGGAATGCATTTGTACTTACCTGAGACTGACACATTCTGCCCAAGCCCCTTGCCCTTGCTGTAAACTTTCTCTGTCTGCCCAGTGTGTCTGTAGCATTGCCTGCCAGGTCCAGTTATTTTGAGAGCAGGACACTGGGTATTTCTGCTTGTTACTTGAAGATAAAAAAAATTCCTTGTTCACTGAAAAGCTGCATCTATCCCACTATACCTAAAAAACATTTAAAGCTTCAGTTTTCTCTACAGTTGAAATATGTCCTAAAAGAAACTCTCCTGAGCCTGGCTTCACATTTACATATAAAAACAGTTAAGTATAATACAGTAAGGCAAGTGCTCTAATCAAGATTTTAGCACAAATCCTGTAGCACAGTGGAACAGTTAGTTATCTTTCACCTGTCTTCTTCAGCAAGACTCAAAAATAATAATAGCCTGGGTATGTATACAAATACACAGTCTACTAACAGCGTGGCCTAAAATGTGGAGAGGATTTTCTCTCTCTGACACAGCTGGCTACTGCTTTTCTTTCCAGATCCCCGGAGAATAACACACATCCTGCTGCAGCATCGAGATTTTGATCACTGCCACAGTCCCTCAGCAGGGGATGCTGCAGATTGAAGGATGAGAGACACTATGGAGTTCAGCAGACTGCATTTATTGAGAGATTTTTAACATTTCCTTGACCATTACCATTATTGCCCTTGCCTCACGCGCAGTTTTTACTCAGGCTAGAAAAAATTAGCTTTTCTCATTAAGTTTGTAGTTGTTGACGAATTCTTGTGCTTTTAATAAGATCATGGAAAAGTTTAGAAATAGTTGCAAATCAAAATTTTTTTCAGTGACTTAGTTCAAGTCCTTTCACTGGACCAGCCCAAACAAGGACACTTTTGTAAATATCCCAGCAAAAAGTGCATAGAAGAACAGGAGGACCTGTCCCTCAGGTCAGTCCATAGCTCCAGTCCTCACAAAAGGAAGTTTTCAACCAATCAATTAGATGCTGTGAAGGAACACTTTACTTTCTTCTTTGCTACTGAAGCACTCTTCCAAACAGAGTGCCAGAAGCCCTCTGCTCTAACAGCAGCCACAAACAAGATCTGTTGCCACTTCCTATAACCTGTGTGGTGCTCGCCACTATGAGACCTTGGGCTGCACACTGAAGTCCACTGTAATGTTGATGTACAATGGGTTGTGTTCCACTGAGAGCAGTTTGTATGAACAAGAATTCAGCCCGTCTGTTTTCCATGTTCTAGATACCTGACGTAGAAGCTTCATTCTGAGGAGAAAGAGGAGAAAAATCTTCATTGATATGCACAGGAGAGGAGTTTTGACCTCTTTCCCACTAACTAGTAAATTTGGCAGTAGTAACAGCTACTGCCATTACCTATCTAGTGGGAATGTAAAGTCCTGTTTTTCCTGTCCTCAACACAGACAATCAGATATGGAGCAAAAAAGTCCTTTGGTTTAATCTCTGAAATCATATGCTTAAATCATATCCATATAACTATAACTTTGGAAGTTTCTAAGGCACACCACCCAGTCAGTTCTACAAAGATCTCAGGTACAGAAAAACTGCCAGCTGTGAACAGTGTTGTCACAGGGGTGGCCCCCAGAGCCCCTGGGTACCACAAAATGCCTATTTGGCCTAGAGCAAAGACCTTGTCCCCCCAGGTGCCTGGCTCCCAGACTCAGACCAGGACAATGCAAGGTGGAACACTGTTCTTGACTCACCTCTCTCGATTCTCCTCATTGCCATGGTCTCGGTTGTGGAAAATCATCGTGTACCTGGCTACATCAGCAGATGGCCTCACCACCTTCATCTTCTGCAACTCAACCCTGGAAGAAGCAATACTGGTATGAGGAAGACAACAGCTATAAGCCAGCTGTTAAGGGAAAAGAAAAAAAAAAAAAAACAAAAACTGAAAAACTCATCTGCATCTCTTCTACAACCCATTTTGCCAGCAAAATGAGGCTCAGAGTTGCATTTCTGGAGAAAAGGTTTGGTAGGGTGACATACACACCTTTCTTTTAAACAGAAGCAGATAGTACAGTAGAGATCACACAGAGCTTAGGCACACATCATACAGCAGAGTATGTTTACATTAGTATTGACTGGTCTGCTCTGTAGCAAGTTTCCACACCTTTTGCAACAAGTTTATCTCAACTCCTGCAATAAAACCCCCATACTTAATAGTTCTTCACTTAAAAAGAAGGGAAAAAAAAAAAAAAGCTTGTTTTCTTCTTTAATGGCTGCAAAAATTCTTATTTGTTCACATGAAGAAAATTTCTTTGAGAACAATGCCAGAAACACTGAGCCCCAAGCACGGATTTAAGTGTCTGACATCAGGCACTTGGTTGGAGCTTTTGACCTTAAACATATCTGTGGAACACAACAATTTTGCTCTGACAGCAGAAAGGGTTTACATCATGACAATGGAATTAAGGAATAGTCCACCTCTTTGCTAGTAACTCAGCAGCTGAAACAGCAATAGGAAACCAAGATTTGAAAAAACTTGAGCCCCTTTCAGATTTCAAATTACTTTGTAGCAGTAAATTATGAAACAACTACAACAAATGATCTGAAAAGTCGCTTGGTGATGCATGCCTTAGGACGGGCCTGGAGGCAGTACAGTAGGACCCGAGAGCCCTCCAGGCCTGAGTTCTGACAGCACTGAAGGGATGCTGCCATCTGCTGACTTCACTCAGAAAGGCTCCAAGGATGTCTCTGCGCAACCCGCCGAGGCAGCAAACTTGCCCTTACCTACCCCTGCAAACTGTCTCCATCCCAGCTCAAGACCCACCCAAGAGGAAAGGCAGGAGAAGTTGCAGTGCACACGCTGTTTTGTATGACTTGGTTTCCACACCAAGACCAACAGCTGCAAATTTAAGAGGTGCCACGCACAAGCATCACTTTCAATTCCAACCCCTTGAAAACATCATAGAGACTCTCAGTAAGTCCTGCTGGTCTGCTGCACAGCTGCTTCTCCAGTGCCCACAGGAATATCTGAAACACCACTGTCACCCACGGGAAGCTGGGAAATAAGATGGTACCAAGCCACCCACGATAAAAGCCAGCTCCCAAGAGGTCACTGAGAAGCTGGTGTGTCTAGGTAGGGGTAGGAAGGAAAAAAAGTGATTAAGAAGGGAGGAAATCCATGTCTCCAGTAGACCTTTTAAATTTCTTGAGATACAGTTGACTAATTACTAAACTGACACAGAAGAAAAGCTTTCATTTGGAAGTTCCTAACTTTAACACACTTGATCCCCTGTGCAATTATGTAACATCACCAGGGATATGACTTTTATGTCCCCAACATAAAAGTCCCCCCCTTTTAATCAGCTGAAAAGGATAACCACTTAAGAACGACAGTTTGTAACCCACGTTACAAACCAACTCTGCCAGCAGAGTTTGCAGGGCTGTGGGGTTTTTTTTCTGTTGTTTGTGGGGGTTTTCCCCCCCTTCACCAACAGCAGTGCAGGATTAGAGGTTTCTTCTTAGGCACAGCGCAAAAGATCAACGTAAGTTTTGCTGACTTCCTTGCCCCACTAAACATCTCTCAACTAACAAACTCACCCTACTTCAACAGACACATCTGCAAAACTAGTTTTAACAAGAGCAAAGGATATATGCATATATATGCAGCCTTTCTAAAATTCAAATTGTTTGCTAACTTTACAATAATCAACAGCACCCGCATACAAACTAAGCCCTGGCCAGAGTAAATCATGGTAGTCAGTGAACGCAAAACACCCAGTCCCACCAAAACACTCTCACACTTGCAAAGTACTGGAACTGAATACCTTTGTGTCTCTGGCAAACCATACTCCAAATTCAATCTCATTATTTCCATTATAACCAATTTCCAAGCAAGAATACAAATACTGTGTGGCTGAGACAAAGCCAAAACAAACCAAGCAAATACCTTAACCCACCCCCAACCATCAACAATGCTGTTAGGAAGAGAATGAGGTCTCAGGCATGCCTAACCCTTGCAAAGAGGAAACTGCTCACAGAACTGGATCTTGCACTTCCAATCCCCACTGCAATACTGTTTGGAACTGAAGGCCCCTGTAGTGTTCTACTTTTGGAAGCTTGGCTTGAAGTCACACCAATTTTTAAGAAATTTTTTAAACCAATTTCTCATTGTTTACCTGATTCGAAGGTCATCATCTTCTCCACCCCAACCCCAGTAGTTGTTAGAGAATCCATTCACTTTGGAAAACTGATCTCTTGTTAGAGCAGTTACACCTCCAAAATATCCCCGGTACCGTAACCTAGAGGTACACAAGAAGAGAGAATGAAGAATTAAATGTCAAATTTTAACGACAATCAAAATATCACCCTGAAACTCCAGATCTAGACTTGTCTTTCACAGAGTTAATGGTGCACAAATCCTTGTAGCTGGTCCTGTTCTCTTCCTCTTTTGACAAAAAGATGGTGATTTGCTTTAGGCCAGAAAAAGTTAACCCTCCAACAGAGAGAATGGAGTCTTCTTCAGTAGCTTCTCTCTTTTTACACGATTCCCCTTGCCAGCCAAAAAGACACTTCACCTCAGGGACTCTGATGTGTAGAAAACAAACAAAGCTACACACTAACATAGTGGAAGCTTTGCAGTAATGATGGCAAGCCATTGACTATCTTAAGAGCTGAATCTGAAAAACTTGGAATGAAATCAGCTCACAGCAAGGGGGCATGTGCTATGGGATATTGC